GGCTTTCAGCATTTGCTGAAATCCGAGACTCGGTGCACTCCAACCAACTGGCGTGCTGCAACTGTATGAACCCCACTTCGTGAAATGTTGGCACAAAGGGCTCTTGTTGATTTGCTAGCCCACCTTCACTTAGGGCGGGCACGAGGCTTGCTAGGGCCTTAGCCCAAAACATGTACATCATGGCAAGGCCCCTAGATGAGGGCTAAATCCTCACATTCCATCCACCTTAGCTTCGAAAGTCCGCTGAGATGCTTACTTCGCAGGTGCCTTCCCTTTTAGCTTCCGTTCATAATCAGCCACCACCTGAGGAGCTGTTTCCATCAGTTCCTCCCGGGTAAACCACCAATCTTCTTTCGGATCCGTATGATGCCTGAATCTGATCCGGTACTCCCTCTTGGGTTTAGGAGGTCTTTCTCGACCCAGCGGCTTCGGAACAGGCATATCCCTGTGATCCAGAATATCGTCGATGTCGACTTGTCCATCCATGGTTGGGGGCAGCATCGATCTCCTGGAAGGGAATTGATCAGTCTCAGCGAAAGGTGCAAGCTTTGAGGCATGGAAGACTGGGTGAATGCGTAGGTGTCCAGGGACACGAATGACGTACGTAGGACCATCCATTTCATCTCCCACTACATCCAAGACTTCCCAGGGACCAAAGTACTGTGGCATTAGTTTGCGAGATATTCCGAATTCTTGTCCTAACTCACTAGCCTTGACCCAGACACGTTCCCCTACCTGAAATGTGGATTGTCTGCGATTCTCATAAGCGATCATGGCTTGCAGAGCCTTCTTCATATGTTCAACAACATCTTGCAGCAATTTCTCATATTGCACACCGTATTCAAGTGTGCCTGGAGTTGCAGCAGGTCGGTTTTCAGGTAGGAGGAAGTCTAATGCTGATCTAGGCTTCCATCCTAAGTGCAACTGGTTAGGACTAACATCGGTACTGCTATGGATAACATTGTTGTACAGGCTGGCGATGAGAGGTAACTACTCATCCCAGTCATCCTGGGTGGGCTTGATGTAATGCCTCAGCAAGTGATGTACAACTCTATTCATTTGTTCGGCCTGTCCGTTGGCTTCGGGATGATTCCCTGAAGTCATTTGAAGTTGACTGCCCATCTGTTCCGCAGTCTTCTTCCACAACTCACTTGTGAATCGGACGTCTCGGTCACTAATGATGGTCTTTGGTAAACCAAAGTCCCTTACCCAGTTGTCCTTGAACAACTTGATGACGTATTCTGTCCTGGCTGTCTCTGGCATTGGTATTAGTCTAATGTAGTTGGTGAATCGGTCAATGATGACGAAAATGTGCCTCTTACCACTCTTGCTGGTCACAAGAGTGTCCATGAAATCCATGGAAACACTCAATCCTGGACCATCAGGAATAGGTAAAGGCTCCAATAACCCAAGCGGTGCTTGAGTTCGCGGCTTGTCCCGCTGACAGACGTGACAGGTCTTAACATACTTCTTTGCGTCATCTAACATTCTAGGCCACCAAAATCGTTGTACTAAGTTAGCACTCGTCTTCTTGTAGCCAAAATGCCCAGTTCCGTCATGACATTCGCCTAAAAATAAACTACGCAACTGTTCACTAGATGGAACAACCAATCTCTTTACTCCGGCCTTATCAAGATAGATTAACCCATCCACCATCACAAACTCACTTTCTGTGGCCTTGTCTTTTGCCTGAAGTTTGCTGAAGATGTCCATCGTGACAGGGTCTTCCTGATAGGCTCCCACCAATGATTGAGTTACTTCATTAGATACGCCAAATTCCAAAACTAGCGCACCTAGGTAGTCTGCTCTACGGGATAGCGCGTCTGCAACCTTGTTGTACTCTCCCTTCAGGTACTCAAGCTTGAAGTCATATTGGTCTCTGRCCTCAATCCATCGCTTGAGTGCATCAGAAAGAGCCGGTTGAGTCTTGATCCATTTGAGGATCTGATGATCAGTCCTCAGATAGAAGAACCTTCCCAAAAGTAAGTGTCTCCAATGGACAAGTGCCTTGTAGAGAGCATAGAGTTCCCTTTCGAAGGTGGACTTAGCCAGCTTCTTCGATGACATCTTCTTACTCATGTACTCAATCGGTCTCAACTTTTTCCCATCCTGCTGAGCCAGCACTGCGCCAATGCCGTATTGGCTTGCGTCAGTGGTCACTATGAATGGCTTCTGCGGATCGGGAACCATGAGAACTTCATGATTCATGAGTGCATGCTTCAATCTCTTGAAAGCACCTTCGCAATCATCACTCCAGTCCCACGGTGTGTCAAGTCAAGTTAGATCAGTCAAAGGAGAGGCGACTGTAGAATAGTTCTTTACGAAGTTCCTATAGTAGCCGCACATTCCTAAGAATGATCTGACCTCAGTTACTGTCTGAGGTCGTGGCCAGTCTCGAATACTAGCCACCTTCGCATCTTCCGGCCTAATTCCCTCCGCGGATACTTCATGACCCAAGTATAGTATCTTAGTGCGACCGAATTCACACTTCTCTAAGTTGACCTTATACTTGTGCTGTCGAAGGAGTGAAAGTACTGTCTCAACATGTTGTGCATGCTCCTCGACAGACTTACTAAAGATCAGAATGTCGTAAGTAGACCACGACAAACTTATCTAAATGGTCATGGAAGATCCGATTCATAGCGTGCTGGAATGTACCCGGCGCATTGCAAAGACCAAAAGGCATCACTACGAACTCATACAGACCATAACGAGTCTGAAAAGATGTCTTGTGTTGGTCTTCAGGTCTTATTGCGATCTGGTGGTATCCGGATTTCAAGTCTATCTTTGTATAGTACTTGCATCCCTGCACCCTATCCAATAGGTCGTCTATGTGAGATAGAGGCTCTGCGTTTTTCACAGTGATGACTTGAGGCCTCTATAATCAATGCACATCCTCAAAGTACCCCCCTTCTTTGGTACGAATAAAACGGGTGATCCGTAAGGGGAAGTACTAGGCCGAATCCACCCCTCCTCTGTCAACTCCTTTAGTTGCTTCCGAAGTTCATCTAACTCGGCAGGGGCCATCCTATAGATCCTTCCCTTTGGGGTCTTACTCCCTAGAATGATTTCTATAGCGTGGACGACTTCCCTATCAACAACTCCTGAGGGCTCCTCGAACAGATCAGGGAACTTAGCAACGACGCGTTCTATCTCTGGGGGTGTTTTAACGGCCTCCCCCTTCTCAGAGACATAAACAAGGTACATACCCTCCTCTTGGTTTTGCTTATGGTAGTTGTAGAATGCGGATGCGCACAAGCAGCCATAGGTATCTATAATACTACTGGCCTTGAATTTGGTCAATCTGACAGTTCGGCCATCGGGCAACTTGTGTTTGAGCACCTTCTTATCCCAGTCGAACTGGGGCTTAGAAACTTCGAGGTAGTACATCCCTAACAACATATCAAATGGCAAGTCGTCGCTAACCAAGAACGAGATCTTATGGTTAAGCTCACCTCCTCCATAGGAGACGGTACAGACTACGTCCTTAATGTAGTCTGTTACAATCATGCGCTCCTTGTTGGCCAAAGTAGATGCTACTGGTCTACTAAGGTGCCGTACCCGGTCCTGTAGGTGCAGCCTTTCCAAACAGTCGCAACTTATGCAATTCCACGAGGAGCCTATGTCTATGAAGGCACCACATTTGCGGCCTCCTACATCGACTTCCACCACGAAATGTTCCCCTCTAGGACCTTTCCTCAGCGCCACCCAAGACTCGCGAGGGTCCTTGTTTTACCACTCACTCTCCAAGTCTTCTAAGGCTTCAGACACATCTAACGTACAGAGCATAGTTTGGTCTAGTTGTGTCTGCGGGGCGACTAAGGGGTCATTAGCCTGGGCCTTGTCATGAAGTAGGGAGGGTATCATTCCTACTTCATCTTGAGTAGAAGCAGCTAATACTTCCACTAGCCTCACGTGTTTCCCGAGCTTGAAGCCTGGGAATAAGTTGCCCCCATCTTTGGAGTAACCTTTGGAGTAACCTTTGCGTTCTGGCACTTGTACTGCGTGTGTCCGTATTCCCCGCAGTTGATACAAGCGCCACGCATTCGGCGGTCATGCCACACGTCTTGATCAAGACCTGCCTTAACCCAATCAGCCTGTTTGGTCTGATTGGAGGCGGCCTTTCCTTGACCCCTAGGTTGGCCCTTCCCTCGGCCACCTGCCTTAGTCTTTACTACTGCGGCAAGGGTGCTACCCTCAACTACCTCCTCGCCGTCTTGCTCTGAATAGTCCATCAAGTCAGAGAGTTCATCAATCTCAGTTTGAGTCCCATCAAACTCAACCATCATCAACTTTGCTCCCTTCTTTTTCCACTCCTGAGGACTCTTCTTCTTCTTTGAGTCATTCTGTGAGGTGGGTTGAGCATTGCCTAGAGTGGCCTCCAAATCTAAAGCCTTCCTAGACAATGTCTCAAACGAATGGTATATAGTGTGTGCCTCGCTGGCCTGTAAGTTCCTGATGTTCTCAAGTAAACATCTAACAAATGTAGTTAGCAGGAACTGGTCACTGTAGTCGATGCCTAGGACGAGGATCAGGCTCTCAACGGTAGTCGTAAGCTCCCTAACTGACCTGAACTTGCGTTGGTCCAGTTTGTTAATGGCATCAGTGGCCCTTTGCGCCTCCTGTGGATTATGCCATCGAGCTTCTACCATTTCCATGAATTGGTCTAGAGTCAAAGACTTAGCCCAATCCGCCATGCGTCGCCCGTACCCGACCTTCACAACTACACCATCTAACCATTTGGCTGCCTTACCCTCTAGGTAAGACACCGCAGTTACCACTTCGTCCTCAGGCAAGGTCCTCTTTGCCTTCACCCAAACCGGGACTGTCCTCAACCATGTGTTGAGTTCTTCGTCCTTTCTCTCGCTTGAGAAGGCAAGAGGCGGTTTCATTGGGGTCTTGGGATACCATTGACCTTGCTGCTGTCCAGATGGCTGAACAGGTTGTTGTGGTGATGTAGCAATCACCGCTGGACCCGAAGAAGAAGATGCAACAGTCTGTGCTGCTGCTGCAGATTTACCACTTGGCTGTGTGCCAACTTGTACGGCAAAGGGGCTTGACATCGCCGTTAACGGCAACGACGATTGTGCTGGTGGCCGGAATCCTGGTTTTGTCAATGCATCTAGGATCTGGTCCAAAGTGCTTTGCATGAAGTCCATCCTGCTGTCTACGCGCGCATGCAGTGACAACATGTTGTTCTTCAACACTTTCAGGGGGTCAGACAAACCCGTTTCGTCCAATCCCTCTAACGTAGCCTTGTCAGCCTCTAACGTATCAAGTCTGGCCGCTCTACCTTTTATCTCTTTTTCTCTATCGGTAGCTTTCTTCAGATCCTCCTCTAACTGCTGGCGGAGCCTCTCGACCTGTTGGATATCCCTGAGCTCCCTCTCACGCGGGGTCAACGGGCTGAACTGCGAGTCCGCCATTTGACTAGAAGACTGTCTAGAACCTGTTGAACCGGAAGTGCCCGTGGAACTTGTGGAACTTATTGGCATTCCCAAATGAGTCCCACTAGTCCCTGACGAGGACGCAGACGATGACGCAGCATAGCTGGTACCGTTAGCCATTGCTGCTACTCTGGCTGTTGTTGCCCGCTCTCTTGCTACTTTGTTTCCTTCCTGTAGTCCTGCTGCTAGAGCACGGGCTCTACGTTCGGCTATAAGCCATCTTTCTTCTCCCGGTTGTAGGGCCTGGAACACGTGCGGTACCCTTAGTGCCTCTGCACGTGTTAGTCTTTTATTGTCAGCTCTATCATCAACATGATCTGACCCACTCATTAGTTAGGCAGATAGTTTCTGCACTAGAATCCCCTAGTGGAATCCTACCATAGCATGTATCTGACCGGCACCTAATTTTCTAACAATAGTTGTGTCCGGCGAGTATCCTACTATACCAAATCAAGTGGCATGTATACAACATTCAGACAAATTGTCTACATAGTCTAGATGCACCCTGATTGGTTCACTTACAGCAGCATTAGTTAGAACTGGCTATGGTAGCATACAACAGTCCTACACTAGTCTGTCTGTGAGGTTAGCAGTCCGTCAACCAACTAATCAAAGGTACAAAAAGACAATGTAGCAGATGTATAATTGATGGGTATGGTTGTGTAAACAGTTGAGCACCAATTGGAACCCACCCTCCCCTCAATCCAACGTACCGAACATCATCTTTGAGCGAGCAGTGTCTTCGTGTGTGTATCGGCCCACCCCTGTGCCCAAGTTGTCACCGAGCAAGCCAACCCAACCACTCTTATTTACCCTCGTACGGCGACGAGCCTTCCTGTCCATGTGATCTGGCTGATCAGGAGGTATTTATAACGTCGCAGTCAGGACGACGATCACAACCAGATTCACAATGAACTCCCAACCAGAAATGTTTATAGACGGTCTGGTAAGCGTCTGCCATGGGCTGGCACACCCGGAGGAACTTCTATTAGCGCAGCAAGTGCCAAACAGGACAGCAGCCATCGCATGCGTGCACTACTCCCTGTGGGTTGGCATGGTGACCGTGACCCAGTGCTTCGACAAGGGCCCTTCAGAGGCACCGCCCTTTCTCCTTCCAGATGCTTCCAGGAAGATTGTCGTCTCTCAAGGTAGCGTGCTCACGACACCTCACCAAAAGAGAAGACTCTCAAGTTGGACTCACTTCCTCACGGTAAGAAGAGATTGAGAAGGTAGATAAGGTAAGGGATCAACATACCTGGAGATAGCTGCCCCCAACCACAGATTGTCTCACCAATTGAGCTGATGTTGCATTTGATGACCGGTCATGACCTCGGTACCACCCACAACGCAATGCAGTGCCACCTTAGTCCAATGCCACATCAGCATGCTCTCATCATCAATCAAACATTCCGCCTGTCACCACGGCTATTAATGTCGTCTGTAGCCTTCCGGCGCACCCCTCTCTACCCAGGGCGTGCGCCTATCAATGGCCTGACGTCACAAGTACCAACTGCGAAGAAGCATCATCAGCGCACCAAGTCTGTATAACGCCAGCATGCCGAAGATAAGTGGCGATCAAACCAGCTCCGATACCAAATTGCAGGGAACATGAGTGTGGACGAAGCACAGAAATCCAGAATGCAAAATCACACTGAAGTCCAAGTAGTCAAAGCCAAAGCAGATAGCACATGGAACCGAGTA